GTGTATGTGTTCACTATTCTAAGATACGAGACGAAGACAGACATAAGGAAAGAAATGGGTAGTCTCTCTTTCTCTCTTTTTTATGTTTTTCCTGAACTCTATATCCCGGGCACAAAAAAAGATAGACGATGACGACCGTCAAGGAAATATGAGGCAGCATCCATTGAGAACAGAAGTGAACGACAACAACGGGAGATGGATATAGAGATATGCGCGAGACGAGAAGTGTTCATCTTTTTCTTCTGCTTCTTCTTTTGTCAACTGGGCGACATATATATATATATATATCTATCTATATATAAATCCAACAACATCAATAAGGAATAAGACAGAGAGAGAGAGACAAAGACAGAGACAGAGGACGCAAAAAAGAAGAGAAGAAGATATATCCTCATTCGAGTATGCTAGTGGTGAACTCTAGTTGACACTCGCATTCATATATATAGGACAGGCATAAAACAGAGAGACGAGGTGAGTAGTATAAGATGATGATAATCATGATGATCTGTAAAATAAAAAAAATGAACGTAATCAATATTTATGAGTATGAGACTTGATAAATCGTCTGATAGACATATTTATACTAGTCTTGTCTTTCGTGTTCATCATCATTCAGCAAATGTCATACATACAGATACATGAACATATGTATTTATCATTATATTCTGTTGAATAGTTAAGAGAGAGAGAGATAGAAGAAGAGTAGCAAAAAAAATCACGAAAAAATAGGATATCGACTGATTTTCGTTTAATATGCAGCACCAGCCGCATATGCTCGACAAAGTAAGCAGATGGTACGTAAAGAATAGAAAAAAAATATGATGTTTGCGTGTGTCATTTTGTATTTGTAGGAGAAAAAAAAATGATAAGAGAGAAAGACTAGTAAACGAGAAGAACAAGAATATCAAGCACTAAACAACTATCTGAATGTATATTCGTATAATAGAAACTGATTCCAAAGGTTACCAATAATATCTTATTATATGGAGAAGGAAAAAAAAAGAGAAATTATTCATTCTTTCGTATATTAAAGATGTTCGTTTTTTGGTTTTATCTATATTCTTCTTCTTCTTTTTTCGTATATTGACGTAGGATAAGGGACAAAGGATGAGCCTTATTCACATGTCTATATCACGCAATTTGTCATTTTAGATCTCTTTACTCTATTCGTTCTCGCTCTCTCTCTCTCTTTCTCTATCCCTCTCTTTTATACACTCGTGCGCACATCCGTCGCTCGTTTAGTAAATACCAGGATGCATAGAACGATACTCACATTTGTATGCTCAAGATATCGTGTGCTTTACGTATGTCTCTTCGACCTCCATTTATTGTTCAATGTTTGTTCATCTTATTTACAACTATTTCTTTTTTCTAGATCTCTTTTTTCGTCTTTTTTTTCTTAATAATAGACAATACTCATTTGAGGGTGTATATGCATATATATATACAATATGGCTACCGCCGCTACATCTCTTGCTGATTTTCATCAAATGATTAAATTATTTGGTACTGATACAGATGAAATGACTAGTGGAACAACAGCAACGACAACAACATCATCATCAACCGCAGCAGCATTTGTATCAACTGATGATCTTGAAGATGACGAAGAAGATGATGATGATAATGATCATGAATTACAACTCGATGAAGAATCACCAAATTCAAGTGGTGGTGAAGAAGAAATAATGTCACATTCATCCATTGCAACATCATCAATTCAAATAAATAAAGATGAACAATTATCAACAAAACCTATATCATCAGCAGCTGCTGCTGCACGTTTATCACGTTTAGCAAATCAACGTATTGATTCGAATCGTTTTTTAATATGTTCAGGAACAAATTCATATAATACAATACGTAAAACAAAACATGAAGTAAGACGTTTTGCATTATATTTAGAAGATACATTCGGTGAAACTTGTCCAATTGATGAATTAAAAGCAGAACAATTATGCACTTATTTAAAACATTATTTTGGTAATGTACGTAAAGCTGATAATACGGAATATGAACCTGATACATTAAGAAGTTTTATGTTATCTATTGAACGTTATTTAAAATCTCGAAAATATCCATGTAATATACTTGAATCACCTGTTTTTGCTCCATGTCGAGAAGTTATACAAGAAAAACGTGATACTTGGGCAAAACCAAATAAAAGTGTGTGCAATTCTAAAGTCGAAGCATTTACATCTCATCATGAAACATTATTACGTAAAATGAATATTATAACACGTGATACACCAGATGGTTTATTACTTGAATTATTAATTAATAATTCAAAATATT